AAGAAGAGGTTCGCCTTTACCAAAGCCCTCAAAAAGGATCCCGCCTCGGTTCCGTCCAAGCCTTCCGCTCAGCAGCCGCCCCGGGAGAGCGCCACGCAAGGCCGAAACGAGGCGGCCGCCTCCACGCCCGTGGACCCAGGTTGCGGCTTCAGCCGGGCCGAGGGACAAGCCCTAGAGCTCGGCCCGGCCGACCTGCTGCAGCAGGACGTGGTGCTGTCCCACCTCCGGCGCTGCCGGGTGCGGTTGCGCGGCAACCCCAACACGCTGTTGGTGCGCGACTGCCACGGTTGCACGATCTTGTGCGGGCCCGTGTCCACCTCGGCGCGGGTGGATGGATGTAGCGGTTGCCTTGTGGCCCTCGCCTGCCAGCAGCTCCGGACGCACCGCGCTACGGAGACGAGCTTCTACGTGCAAGTGACTAGCCGAGCGATGCTGGAGGACTGCAGCGCCCTGCGCTTCGCCCCATATTCATGGGATTATGCGGGTATTGAGGCAGATTTCGAGACTTCTGGGCTTGATAGAAGCAGGAACAACTGGAACCAGGTGGATGACTTTAATTGGCTGGCCAAGAATGAGGCTTCCCCGAACTGGTGCGTGATCCCGGAAAAGGAGCGGATCACGGAGTGGAACTGAGCTACAGCCTGCATTTCCAGAGGACTTGAAGACAGCAGTACTGAAAAGAGGACTGACCTTTTCAAAGGGTGGAACTAAAGCTGCGTTAAAAAGACCTGAATGATGTTCACTATCTCTTTAAGAAGTATGATTAGGTTGCCAAAATGCTTGTCCTGGTAGCCTTTCACTGTTTTCTTGCTAACTGATTACATGTCCTGGTACTAATGCCTAATATTGTGTATTCTCTGGGTTCTTTCTACAGTTCTGCAATTGTAGCTGTAAGATTATGCTTTTTGTCCTCTTAGAAAAAATCTTGTGAGGTTGAAGATTTTAAATTCTGTTAAAATGTTACACGGTTAGCAATTTGTTCACCATAATACTGATTAAAATTACTATAAATTTAGACATTGGCTGTAATGTGTTTGTGATGTATATGGACTAAAAAGGTGGTCTTCCTGAAGGGTAAGTGATATGAGATATTTAAGAATGGTTTAAAAGTATTGTCAATTTTTTTTGCCAGCTATATAAGAAATAATTTGGAGATGCTAGAAGTAGTTCTGAAACCATGCACCTTCACTTGTTAAAATAGTTGAAATTATGCTTTGACCTGGAGCAAATTCTTTATGAGATGCATCTTTATCTACTAGTTCCAAGGCAGAGAATTCTACAGAATTGATCTGCAAAGCATTTTGAAGGTTATTCAAAAAATATGTGTCAGTTAACATTAGTTCACTTTTACAAAACATGCAGGTGTTGAGTTTACAAAAGTGCTTACTTTCTGATCACAAAATGTATGTGGTTTTGCTTATGCTGTGCCTGTAAGCATTCTGAAGGTATATATCTAAAAGGACACACCAAAAATATATATAGGCACTGGGCACTATCTTACCATAGATAAGCACTTTAAGTGGGAGAATGTTTAGTAGATCCTTAAGTCTCCTTCTGAAATTAATAAGGTTCCAAAGGGTAAAGTTAGGTTGGATTATACCAACAGTAAACTTTCTGCTACATTTTGTATAAAAATATTTATTTTCACAATAATATGTAAGATTTTATATAACTGTATGTACATTTCAAAAATATTTCATAATCTGAACATATCAAGATTTTTATTTGTTTTATTTCCACTTTATTTTTACAAATACCTTGATTGAAAGCAATTTTTCAGTTGTTTAGAGAGCCATATAGTTATTTATTATTAGCAAATTTACTGCATCCATTATCTTTTTTTCTTAACTTTTATACCGAAGTAATTCCAAATTTATAGAACCTGCACAGTATTGATGATAGAGCTGTACAAGGCCTCTGTAAGAAGTGCTGAACAATGCACAGGAGTGCATATGAAACTTTTGGCTTTGGAATATTAAAGCAGCTGCACAGTTGGCAAGCTTTGTGGGGCTTCTTCAGAAGTTGTTCTTGGCTATCTCAATACTCATAAAAGCAGCCACAAGAGTCTCACAATGTGGCTGTTTTAACTGTTTGGAAAGAGGTGTTGTATATGCTCACAAATTTTGCTGAGCACCTCTAAGAATCCTAATAGATTAAACTTAAATTGCTGTACTACAGAATATTAGTTTTCTGCATTTTTTTGTGTCCAGTAAGGAGGGTAACTGATAATGCCTTGGATTAAAGCAGTTATAATTAAGAGTTTCCTAAAAGTTGTGTTCCAAAAATAATCAATTTTCAATGCTTTTTTAAATATCCTCATTGTGATTTTATTAGAATAAGACTGCAAGCTTCACTGGGGAGGTAGGAAGTTGCCTGTACCTCAGGGTCCTTAGATGTTGAATGGGTAGTTTTGATGAACAAAACCTGGCTGCTCTTTTACCTTTTAAAAGAAAAGTTACAGTTTTGCTGAATGCAACTTCTCATAATAGTATTATGTGATGGGGTACCAGTGAAAGAAACCTAGCGTACATGATAGGAGCCAATCTAGAAGGAAGATAGTGGGACTGAAACTCTCCAAACTAGAAGTTGGGTATAGTTACTCTAGGCTTACTCTTTTTGTGTTCCTCCAGGATAGCCCTGGTTGTGCTATAAAAACAGCAAGTTCTTGGATCCATTTTTTTCTTGCCAAAATAAAAGGCATAATTTTCCCACCTAAACATTCCAGCTCCCCCCAAAATATATAATATGAAAGTTAGTCCCATCTGTTCTTGTGGTATCACATCATTGTTTTACTACCACTTTGTTCCTGAGGGAGCTAACTTTTAAATAGTACAGCTTCCAATCACAACAAGATTGTCTGCCATTACCCTACAGTGTTAGAAATTGTAATGGTAGAAGGTGATAATATTGTTCCATTATTTTTATCATAGTAAAAAGTGCTGAATCTTTTGGCATTAATATTCAGTCTGGGAACTTAACAAGGAACCTATATATAAAAAGCACGTTCAGTTTCAAATTACACTGAAATGAGAGTAATTAAAGAAAATGCAGTAGCTAGCCACCCATGGCAGATTAGAGAAAAATAATTCAAATTTGTTAATCTATGTGAGTTCCCTTAAAAGTTGTGCAAGGAAAAAGCAAGTGTACTCTCAGTTACAGGCCTTGCTTAATTCTGTGAAAATTGTATGATCAAATCTCAATTTCAGGTTTTAAATCTTGAGGAAAATCTTGATAGGTTTGGTCACTGCCCTAAAGTCATTCCTACATATCATTACAATTACCAACCTTCAGAAGCTCAGCTTTACTATTTCTCAGGTGATTGGAGGAACAGATGATATGATTCTCTAAATAATAGGAAGCTCCCATTAGAGTCCAATTGCAAAATGTTACTGTGTATAGTACGCATACATCTGCACATCAACAAATTTTGCAGCCACAGTGATAAGTTACATTTATAAAAATGGCTTCTATTTAGATCTATCTACTATGACATCTCATAGCTTTAATTTACTGTTGTAGTGAGGGCCTTTTTAAAACATGTGGAACTGGAAATCTCTCACTATGGGTTGTTTTGTAACATAAGATTTCTGCTCCAGTCTCCTTACATTTTGAAGGTGAAAGGTTGCAACTGTAATATTACTTGAGAAAAATCTACATTTGTAACATCTTGTTTTCTTGAATGTCTTTTTAAATGGAATTCAACATTACAGTACTTGATCAAATAAAAGTGCCTAGCCCACCAATATTATGCTCCTATAATTGAATTGTTAGCTTTGGGTGATGTGTAGCTATTCCTCTAAGCTTACATGTTTATCATCTTTCTGTGGGAATTCAAAGATAATGCAAAATTTATTTTTTAGTAATTAATTTAACAAAGATTAGGTCTTTGTTGTTTAAAGCAAGAGTTTCATCTTCCCTTAATTTTGTGAATGTTAGGTATATTTTGGTATATTGCAAAGATTTTTAAAGTATTAAAAATTGCAAAAATAAACACAAGATGAACAAGTTCATGGGAGACAGTGTAAGTTTTTTACAATCTTTGCACAGCTCACTTTTAAAAATGAAGCAAGCATGCCCCTAGTACTGATATTCAATAAGAACTAAACATAGTTGGTGCACAGGTCCTCAAATTTACAACATATATTACTAAATTTATATCCCATTTGTCCAGCAGCTCAAAGCAGCATACATAGCGTTCTTTCATCCCTGTTTTCCCCCAACAACCCTGTGAGGTGGGTTGGACTGGGAGAGTGACTGCTCCAAAGCCATTCAGTGAGCTTTCAGTGTCTAAAGGTGGACTTGAACCTGGGTCTCCCCATATTCTGTCCAACACTAATCACTATACCACACTGGCTCAACTATTGCCATATGGTACTGTAAGTTCCATCGGAACACCCTACTAACATTTTTAAGCTCAATAAAAAACGCTTTTCTACCTTAAATAGTGATGATGGAGTTTAGACTTGCTTTAACAGTGGAACAATTACACGTTCTGTTTGCATTGTGCAAGAAGTTTCTATCTCAGCAAGCCCTGCTCCATTGTTGGCCTTTTCTGATTAACCTGTAAACTGCTCTATTTTGAGGCAAAATACCTTGGCAGTTTGATATAGTTTCTGTGATGATTTAATAAAGTTATCAAAATCAAGGTGGTAACCCTTATTTTTCAGTTTTAAAATGCTTAGATTGAAAATAATTTAAAACATGACCTAATTCTACCCCCAAAATGCCTTAAGTCCCAGAGGATGTCATTCAAGGTGAGTGACATAAGATAAGCAGTATCATGTACTGGTTAATTTGTAAGTCAGTATATAAGAAGCATCTGATATAGGTTTCAAAGTAGTTTTCCGGGGGGGAGGGGGAAGAATGAGGCAACTTTTTATACCTTAGTTTTCAGTTATGTGAAAACAAATCCATTGAATAGTAAAAAGAAAAGATTATTTTCTTGGCTCATCTGTGGACAGAGATTTCTTAAATTGGATTACACTAATTAGTATTGGAATGACGTAGTGTAGATCCAGCTTTAATTATTTGAAACTGAAACAGTTTCTCCTTTGTATAGAAGGGACGACCAGAAATAGTTGTGCATGTTATTTGCCAATAATCTTTTATTCATGTGATCTTTAAAAAAACTTGCTCATTTGAAAAATTTAGCTGTACTTCTTCAGTTTCGGGCTAAGCAAGATGGAAGAACTAAATAATGTCCCAACTAGAGCGGTGCCCCTTTGAATCTTCAAGGCCTAAGTGGTGGCAGATTTTCTAATCTTAACCCTTTTCAAAGAAGGGGTGATTTGAGGAGAAGCTTGGTACAACCAACATTGTGAAAAAGATGGCAGTGATGAAAGTCAAGTTCAACCAGAAGAAAAGGGTAAAACTAGCACAAGGATTATGGCTCATGAATTGGTTTTCAGTGTTTGCAGGAATTATTGTTTTTTCTATGGGACTTTTCCTGAAAATTGAACTCAGGAAGCGAAGCGAAATGATGGACAATTCTGAAAGCCACTTTGTGCCCAATTCTTTGATACTGGTAGGTCTACTTGCCTGTGTGTTCAATGCTCTTGCTGGCAAGATATGCTATGATTCCCTGGATCCTGCTAAATTTGGAAAATGGAAGTTTTTCTTGAAACTCTATTTAGTCTTATGTGTAATTTTTAATGTCTTCATTCTTTTTGTTGCTCTTACTTGCTTTCTGATGAGGGGTTCTCTTGAAAGTACACTGGCGGATGGGCTAAAAAATAGTATGAAGTTCTATCGTGACACAGATACTCCAGGAAGATGCTTCATGAAGAAGACAATTGATATGCTCCAGATTGAGTTCAAATGCTGTGGAAATAATGGTTTCAGAGACTGGTTTGAGATTCAGTGGATCAGCAACCGGTACTTAGATTTTGGTTCCAAGGAAGTGAAAGAGTAAGTAGTTCAAAGGAATTTAATTTTGTTGTATGGTTTGTGCCTTTAAATCTTGTGTTACATGTCATTCAGATTTTTTTAAAAAATACTACTGTGAATGGCAAACTAAGGTCAGCAATAAAGAGTAATATAAATTATTACTTTAATTAAGGAAACCAACATTTCAGACTCACAAATATATAATTTAATTGATTAATTTCCTAACTTTTCCCAATATACATAGTATTGTCTTGTACTGTAATATTATAACTTTAACAATGATTTTTTTAGGAGTATTTCACTATACCTTTCTAGCTTAGGGTTCATCCATTCACTATATTTTTATTTGGCCATCATGCCTGCCTTTTCCCTAATCTGAAAAACAAAGTAGTAGTATAATACACCAGGTTTCACTAAAAAGCTTACACAACTCTTTGTTTAATATGGATTTTGCAGGAAAACTTCTTGTTTGTACATTGACATTTATCCTGACCTCTGTTAAATCACTCCATAGCTATTCTTGGCTTTCTCCTCTAGCTGGATAAATGGATGTATAGAGCTCTACAAATGTACATGCCCTCAAATACATAACTTCTTTTGCCACTGAATTTATAAAATTGAATCCACACTCTTTCTTTTCAAGGATTCTAATTATTTCTCAGTCTTGAAAGCGTGACTGGATATGCTTTGGTCTTACCAGGTTACTTCTGCTATAGATATTTTTTGAAAATATCCTATCATTACTTTCACATCCTAGGAGGAGATTCAGTTTCCCCTCAATAATTAATTATAACAAAAAGAAATTGCAAGTCTTCAACTGGTTAAGAATTTTTAATGCTTTTGATTGTCACTAATAGACAACTTAAACATTTACAAAATATCTTAACAGTGAGCTATTGATCTGCATCAGTAGTTTTGTTTGCACTGGACTCAATGGGATTTATGTTTAAATAGATATCTGGGAGGTACATAGGATTTCACTGTCAGTTGCACTGTAAGCAGTTGGACAAGTTCATTGTGATTAACACAAATCCCATCAGTTCCAATGGCACTTAAACATGTGCATCTGGATGGTGATAGAAGTCCGGTGCTGAAGTTCTGAATTTTAATATATTCATATTAATATACATATTTTTCATTGAAACATATGTAAGACATTTAAGTCATTGTATGTTGTATATTTCAATATCTTTTTATACTTTCATCTGTAGGAACAAATATGAATTATTCAAGATATGTGCAATAATGGATGTTTTTAACTTTGTTCTTTAGTTGTGGTGATTTTCACCTGAACGTTATAGTCTTAAAGTAGTCCAATTATATAAATACCCATTTTATTTATATTTTAATATAAATGTTATGCGGAGCAAATATTTGAATCCGAACCATTTAAATTATGTCTTGATATAAACAACTACATGGAAAGATGTAATGAGATGACCGCTATGCTGACATTATCTGAAGATTTGGAGCTTGAGTTTAATCCATCCGCAGGAGGACAGTCCGTGAGAAATAGAACAAGATTATGTTGTCAGACACACATGTAATACTGTACTATATTTAAAAATGAAGATAGAATATCAGGTTTAAACGTAGTCTCACTACTTATATTTGCTACCTAGGAAAATAATATGATCAGTTTATTTGGGATATGGATACGTAAACAATTCTCATTATTATCAAAGTGCACAATGTATTTGAATGTCTCAGGGACATTATCCAGTTCATACTGAAATCAGCAGAAGGCTGAGTGGAGATAAGGCTATCTTACTGGTGTATAATGCTTTGGAGATTATAAATAGAGTCAGGATTATCTTCAGATAAAAGAATCTTTTAATCACTTTCAGATTTGTCAGGTAATAATAATAATAATAATAATAATTTATTAAACTGGTATGCCACTCGACTCTCAACAACTCTGGGCAGCTCACAACAATCAAAGAAATTACAATAAAATCAATAAAACATAAAAAATAAAGGTAAAAGATGGCAACCACAATGAAGTGAGAGGTCTCACTCTCCCTCCCTGAAGGCCTAGGTGAAGAGCCAGGTAAGAAACGTGCCTTTAAACACATACACGGATTGCTGCTAGCCATGTACCACATAACCCAATTCAGGAGGCTACCCCTTGTAAAAGGAATTCTAATAATTACTGCTTCATTAGCAATCCATTTGTTGGATACTTCACATATCCCTCCTGGAACATGAAATGATTATGTCATGCCCAAGAACAATTCTGCTTCTCTAACATACTGCCTTACTCAGCCGTTATGCCTAAAAGTGAGGGAGGGGGCAATACTTATGAGATAATCTCTCCTTCAGATTCTAATTTGTGCCCCATTTTTCATGGCCATCTGCATAGGGAGCCAATGAACTAAAAATTAGTCCAATCGTACATACATGAATAAGTGCATATCCATCAAAACTTTTCAGTTCTGGGGTTTGTAAAGTTATGCAAAGCACAGAAAAAGAGTAAGAGGTAATAAGCAAAAGAAACACGAGAAAATAAAAAGAAACTTAAAACTAATCTACACCAATACCATTCAGTAACACAGTGTTCCTCAACCTTGGCTGCTTTAAGCTGTGTGGACTTCAACTCCCAGAATTCCCCAGCTGTCTGGGGGATTCTGGGAGTTGAAGTCCACACAGTTTAAAGCGGCCAGGGTTGAGGAACACTGCAGTAAATCCTTGTTTCTACCATGTCCATACATCTATTCATATGTTGCCTTTTGTTCTTTACAGTTCTCTCTCTCTTTGAGTATCTCATAAGTTCCATCTATCCAACCATAACTTTGTGTTCCTATCAATCCATTCGCTATTCATATAGCTGTTTTGTAATTAGATTGTCATTCTCTCTGTAGGATCAAACCATGCTACTTTTTTATTCAAACCTGATTCATTCATCACCCATTATTTCTTTATCCATTTTCTTCTACAATATTTCCCTGAACGTTAAGATACTCCAGAGAGGTCTTTCTGTCTTAGAAATTCAAGAGAGGATCTTCTCTGTGGCTCTTTCCAGCATCTGGAGTTTTCTTTTAACTTAGCCACATCAGCTTCTTTTGAATTTCCTTCCACCAGCAGAGAGAT